ATATACAGGGTGTTCTATTTTAAAACCCCACGTGAATAACTTTGTAGAAATTGGTTTTAGCAAAAAATGTTTCAGACAAAAATTGTTGGGTTTAAAGGGGGACATCCAATGATGACATTGGTTTAACCTAGGGTGTACATGCCAAGGTCACATGGAGGTCAACTTTGTTTTTGAAATGGAACACCCTATTTTTGATTCCAAAATCTAATAGCTGGTGTCAAGAGCTTTTCAAAAAACTATAATGAAGTTATTTTTCATTAAGTACTTTTCGAGTTATGAGGCTTGTAAATTACAGTATTTTGACATAAAATATAAAATATCTTGTAAAATATTCAATTTTCGGGAATCTTATCTTAATACTTTTATGCATAAAATAATGAGACGAATCAATTGGTGTAAAGAAAACACATAGTTGCTTTCAAGAAAAAATATGTAATTTGCAACATGCAACTGCATACTTTTTTTTAAAACCAATGTGTTTTCTTTATACCAATTTATTTGTCTCATTATTTTGTGCATAAAAGTATTAAGGTAACATTCTCAAAAACTGAATGTTTTACAAGATATTTTATATTTTATGTCAAAATACTGTAATTTACAAGCCTCATAACTCGAAAAGTACTTAATAAAAAATAACTTCATTATAGTGTTTTAAAAAGCTCTTGACATCAGCTATAAGATTTTGGAATCAAAAATAGGGTATTCTATTTAAAAAAACAAAGTTGACCTCCATATGACCTTGGCATGTACACCCTAGGTTAAACCAATGTCATCATCGGATGTCCCCCTCCAAACCCAACAACTTTGGTCTAAATCATTTTTCTTGAAAATGTCTCTCTGAAAAGTTATTCACGTGGAGTTTTTAAAATGGGACACCCTGTATATTAAAAATCAAATACTTATCGGGTTTTTAGCATTTTCGTGGTACAAATTTTTTCACATTGTGACGACAGATCATGCTCGATTTCTGCGCGTTCGCTGCGTTTTTGCTGCCACACTACTAGCATATTCATAATATTTAGCTCACTGGGTTCAAGCATACTGCAATAAAATTATAGGTTACAAAATTATTATTCCCATACAGCACAAAACATCCTCAGCATATCCTCAAGACATCGAGGATTTTCGGTGTCCCAAGGATGTTCTGAAGACATCGAGATCTCCCCAAGATGTCCTAAGGATATGTGGGATATTTTGTGCTGTATGGGTTATCATTATAGAGTATAAATTATAATTTCAATTTACCGTTATTTATAATTTTATATATTTTATATATTAAAATAATAATTAATTAAAAGAACAATGATTACCTTGGATTAAGAATGTTATTTTTGACCCGGTTGAGTGAAGTGGTTAATTTAATCTAAAAACGTCAAACACAGCATAAGAGACATATATAGGTTAAAAATTATTATTATAGAATATAAACTATAGTTTCAAATTACCTTATATTACTTTATTATTATTACCTCACAGTCCATTGCCTTATCAACTTGAAATCCTTGAAGCCCTTCGTTTTACAATATTTTATTCAAGCAGTCTACAATTAATACCCTGTCTAGATCGGAGGATGATTTTACTTGTGGCTCATTTTTTTATCAATTAAAAAAAATTATTTGAGTCAAACTATTCACAGTAGGATCATTCACCGGTCTAAATTAGGCATGACTGAATGAAATTGTAGGTTATACATCTCTTCTAGAATTGCCATAGCAGACGATTTTATGAGTCCTTTTAGTGACGTCTTACAAAAGATCCGTCAGACGTCTGTACATCGTCTTTAGGTAATGTCTCAAAGACGTAAGAAAAAGGACGTCTACAGAACGTCGTTAAGACATGCGTATTGTGTGGGTACATATCTACATTTTTTACAATTTACAAATGCGAGACATTACAAAATAAGCTACAATATATTATAAATATATTAAATTCTATTTATATATTTAATATTAATTATAAAGATTATTAGTGGGAGTTATGTATTTTAAAGTTACAACAAAAATGATCATGATCGAAGTGGAAAATTTCCAAGCTTATATACATCTGTTTTATATGCATACTATCTATCTGCTGAAGTTAGCAGCTGGCTGGGCAAGTAAAAGATTAGCATTCAGTATTGTAACAAATCTAACCGTATCTAGTCTTGCCTCTATGTGAGGGCAAATAAAATTAAACATGCGTCGATCTGGTTGCTTCTTTACATTCGCGCGACGTAGTATAGAATCACTTTTTATTGATAGTGAGTAATTGATTAAAAAAAAAAAAAAACTAAACTAAACTATATATTCGATTATGTATCCGTTAATAATAAATAAATACGATTTACAAATAATAATAAATAATGATGCGTCGATGATTAGAAAGCCATTCGCTTGCTAAATTGGCAATTCGTGAATACTTTATCGTTATCGTGACGCTGATAAGAAAAACAGACATGCTTTTTACAGTTGTATTTGTGTCACTGATTACTCGAGTTGTGTGCCGGATTTCGATGTATCACCTGCCATTACGCGCTGATAGAATACTCACGTGTATCGATTCGCGTAAAGAAATGTGCGACGTGTTCTGTGATATCTTGTAAATATTGTAGTTTTGCCTCGATTGACATATGTGAGAAATCGAATGAGCAATTGATTCTTCGCAAATAAAGTGCAAATTGAAAAAAATATATATTCTTTCTTGAAAAAAAAACTTTTACATTTACGATTTTAATCGTAATTTATTTATGTGTGTGCGCGCGTGCGTGTGTGTGTTATTGATTAAATATATTGTATAAGCCTATTTAACAAGATGAAGTTTCACACATCGTTGCTATTTATTTTGACGGTGAACTTGTATTTTATGAGAACATGCCTGAGTGTCGACACGAAGATACTGAGCTTGTGCACGGCTCAAAGTACTTGCGAGAATTGTTTAGAAGTGAGCTCGGCTTGTGCCTGGTGCAGCGACTGGGTAAATTTTTCATATCCCCGCAGGATGTTGAAGACATCGAAGTCTTTGATAAACGCATTGAATGTCGCGAGGATATATTTCAATAAGAAGTAAAGTAAATTGAAAAATTAGAATTGTGAATTAATTCAACAACTGATTTACATTTAAAGAATCAAGTTTTGTAGCTCTGACAAACACAGTTCTTGTAAGAATAAGAAAAAGAGTAAAACCAGCCAAAAAAGTTGCTAACTAAAATTTATGTTAATTATCTCTCATGAATTGTTTTTCTCACATCCAGCATGAAATCATCGAATTTGAATATTTGAATTTGTCTCTCATTTCAATTTGTTTTATCTCTTATTCTTATAATCTCTTATTCTTATAAAACGAAATATTATTCTATTCAAATGTTGTGCTGAGATGTATCGTTTCGCGTGATCAAAATCTTTCTATGCATTATTCTCGGAAAAGAAGAGAATATATTTATATATATTTATATATAACATCACATTCATATTATTAAGATTAGCTTATTAAATAATAATTATGTCAATTAATTGAAAACAATTTATTCAATAGACAGGATCTGACGTAAAACACATCTACTTAATATTTATTTAAATGGAGATAATAAATATGTAAAATTGTAAAACAATCTTTTTTTCTACCGTAACCAAAAATATACAATATTAAAACCGCGCGACATTCAATGTACTAAACTTGAGACACGTGCATCTTACGAATCATCTTATGATTTTACTGCATGGTGATGTAATTGTATGACTTGTTTTTTTTCAATTACAATTTACAATTAGTCATATTCGAATTCGACGTATGGGAAACCGAGATGCAACGTGCCAGAGCGTCTGCGCGCATTTGGCTGCCCGGACGTGGAAATCCGTACAGCACCACCAGGATCGTTTCAAGTGTTGGTAAACGAGGACTTCCAGGATGTCTCTGATAGCCACACGGTACAGTTGAAACCGCAAAAACTGCAGCTTAGGATTAGACCGCGATCTAATCAAGTGATGACGCTCCAGTACAGGCTCGCTAAGTAAATCTAAATAAAAACTTATTAATAACACCAGTAATTAAAAGAAAAAAAGGAGAACTGAAATAATAAATTAAATAATAAATAAACAGATGAAACTTTACGTTAGTACCGTAGTGTTGCATAAATTAATGACATCAAAGAGTTATTAATAAACGACTCACACAAACGCGATCTGATCAGATTGTATTTCTGGATCTCGCGTGGGACGTTGTCGTTCTGCATGATTACAAAATCGTACATTCTTTTTCGTTATTTCTTTTTTGTTATTTTTTGTTAACATTAATCTTTTGAGTATTAACAATGTTATATTACTGTTAAAAAAATAAAAGATTAACACACTGTTAACATAAAATTAATAATATTCCATCTAAAAAATTATAATGTAAATTTATAATGTAAAATAAATAATAATCCTATTATATATGTACCAGTAATAATTATGAAAATGAATGAAGTCAAAAATCTTGAAAAATTGAATTTATCACTTACTTTGTGTTACATCAGTTTACATTATAATAATGTGGAGTCTATTTTGAAAAATAGTTGAAAACTGAATTGCTTAATAGCGTTAATAACTGTGTCGTTAAACAGAATTCAGTTTATGTTTATTTTGACAGATCTAAATCACTCGTCCTTTTTTTCTTTTCAGATTGATGGTACTTTCAACCTATACATATAATGCTTCTAAAGTTTTCTGACAATGTTAATACTTTGTCTTTTTGTTTATTTTAAATTTAATTTATATATTTCTTTGTCTATATATTAGTTTAAGAAAAGCGTAGATCAGCTTCAGAGGATTAATATCTATTTCTTTCACTTATTTTCATATATTGTACGGATATCTAATCTGTACGGATAATCTGTATCTATTGTGCGGATCTCTAACTTTTCTAATTCTAAATATAATAAATTTCTTGGTTTATTGTATCTATACTACACCTAAACAATACGTGTTTTATATCTTGAATCTCTACTGCGCATTTATACCTAGGATCATCTACATATTTATTCGTCCATAAAAATTCATTCGAATTATAATAGTTTGATTTAAGCCTATTTACCATGGTTATAAGTCGTCTATCTAAATTGACCTTGGTAAACCTAGTAAAATAGAATTGTTCTTTGTATCTGCCTTCTATCTCTATTCTGTTTCTCGTTGTTTCAAACATACTTTCTTTACGTAAGGCTCTCCAATCTTTAAACCTGGGACCTTGATTTTCTGATTCTGGTCATCTTCTGTGGCTTCCTTCGCTAACCCGTCTGCTATCTCATTCTTATATGACTTGGAATCCAATCAATTACTACTTTCATCCTATTCATGCTCTCTACGTCTATATTATGTATTATATATATCCTTTCTCTTATTTTAAATATATATCTCTTTTTGTATAGCGACCCTGGTGAAAAAACATCTCATAATTTCCTAGAAA